GAATAAAATCATTTGATTCTCCAAGTGCCAAAGATCATAAGACAACCTTTTTTTGGATGTTGGAATATGTAGCTTTTGGTTTTTCGGGATCCAAATTTTAGATTTCTTATTTTATTTTTTTTTGGTCTCAAACTAATTCTTTTGCTTATTACATTAAACGCGATGATTATTCTGAGACAGAGTAGATGAAAGATGAACCAAACTAATTCTTTTGCTAATTAAATTAACCTTTTTATTTTAATTAATCTAACATTTTTCACTGAACCAAAATGTGTAGAAATGATGTCAAAATGTTGAAATGGAAGTCTAGTAACAGACAACCCTCGTTATGGAACCCAATTTCTTTCGGAGTATCAAATCCAAATATTTTCTCAGATCCTCTCAAGCAAATGCATTATAGACAATTTGGCTTCTACTGAGTACAATGGCCACTTCTAATAGACAATTGCATTCATTAGTGTTTTTCCATGGAGATGACAGTATTTTCATGACACCGACACCATTTGCTTAGCCTTTCACTTTTTTAATTCCTCTTTTGTATTTTGTTGTATAATCTTGTCAATTCTTTTTTTCTCCGGTCCAATTTAAAAAATGATTTAAATTATCCCCAATTCGTATCTTATGTATTTGAACCATATGAATAATACAACTTCATGCTCAAATCAAAGTTTTCTCCGTCATTAAGGAGACCAAATGTGTTGGACATTGTTATTAGAAATTCAGTAAATATTTTTGTTAGAAATTCAGTGAACAGATTGTTTATATATATCTCTTAAACCTGTTTAAGGAACAACTCTTGATATTGCAATTTAATAAAAAAAAATATCTGGAAGTTTGACTGTACGATTCAATCGCCAATTTTAAATTCATTTCTTTTTTTTTAAAAAAAAAAATTACTACTATCACATACTAATTCATTATATGGGGGAAGGACAAATGTGAAAATTAAAAAGAAGCAAATTTAGAAGCAAACCAAACTACGAAGGAACAAAGGTCATTTCCAAGTATTTCTTAAAGAAAAGGGGAGAAAGAAAAATCCAAGTTGTGAAGACTAAACAAGAAATAAAAATTGGAGTCAATTTCTAGTGTTATTTTAAATCGCGGGGGAAAAAAAAAGAGAAGAATATACTCCCTCCAAAATTAAAAAATTTAATAAACGAGACCGAGCTTAGGGTTTAATTAACTTTAAATAGTGGGTGTCAAGTGTGAACGTCTGAAAAAAGAAGAACCAGTCTAATCCATTTTTGATTTGTGTGTGACTGCCACCTCTCATCATCCTAATTCCTACGCCACCACTTTCCTCCGCCAAACACCGCCTCCCTCCACCAACTCCGGCAGCCCGCTAATACTACTTCCACTCAGAACACTATTCTCAAGTTTTCCTCACCTGGGTTTCCCCGGAATTTACTCCAATGCTCCAAACCACTACACATTATTGTTGTTCATGTTCAAAGTTCATCATTTTAGCCAAAGTTTCCAACTTTAAGGAATGGGACATTACAAAACAGCGAAACAAATCGAACCCAGTTCAAAAATCCTGAAATCCTCTCACCTGATGTTCTCCCTTTAGTCATCTCCAACCAACCGTCCACCTGGCTCCGTTTTCATTTAGCAGAGGAGAGTATAATAAATTCTCGTGGATAAAAATTATAGGCTCTTTGTTTTTCTTCAGTGTAAATTTGGAGAACTTTTAATTATTAGGTGTCTTACAAAATAATGGAATATTTTAATTATTTTACTGGAATCCCTGAGAATTATGGGTTTCAAGGAATGGTGAGAAATGTGTCGGCACCATCTTCATCTTTGGTATTGGATAATGAAAAGGGTGAGCTTGTGAGGGCTCTGATCAGGCCAGGGCAAAAAGAGGTTAATCCAGAAAAGGCATTGATTGCTTTGAGGAATCATAGTGAAGCAGAGAGGCGAAGAAGAGAAAGAATTAATGGCCATTTGAGTACTCTTAGGAGTTTGATTCCTGGAACAAACAAGGTAACAACAATTTTTCTTTTTCTGCTCCTTTGATTGGATGCTTCCCTGTGGTCTGAAGAACTGGTTCAATTCGTTTGAACTTTTTGATTCCCATCCACTTTTGTTGTTCATTAAGTTGTTTTTACTTCATGTGATGTTGGATTGTTAAACCGTACAATTTTAAATTATTCTGTACACTATCTATGAGCATGTGACTCAAAGGATCTCATCCTCCCTACACCAACTGTTTCTTTTTTTAATTTCTGCATCTCCCCAGCAGGAATCTCTCATGATCAAATGGGAAAACATGTTAAATTTGGAGGCAGATATCGTCTCAAATTCTCATTCTTGAGTTAAAATCATTCCAAGCTTTACAGAATTTACTTTTCAAGTTTCTTTTTATGACATCTGAAGACTAATAATTAGTAATGGAGTAGTTAAAATTACTCTGGTGTATGTGATTACAGAGTTGTAGTTAGTTTTTAGAGTTGCTTGCTTAGTTCAGAAAGTACAGCTTTTTGATATTAGATTGTGCATATATCCTGCATGATATGAGTTTCAGAAGTTTTATTTCAGCTGCAATTTTGTTTTTGGCAGATGGACAAGGCTGCATTACTGGCTGAGGTGATTAATCATGTGAAGATTCTGAGGAAGGATGCAGCTGAAGCTACTAAGGATATGCTTGTGCCATCAGATATTGATGAAGTAAGAGTTGAACAAGAAACAGGAGGGGTTGGGGAAGATTCTTTTACTATCAGAGCATTCCTTTGCTGTGACTTTAAGCAGGAGCTTCTTTCTGATTTGAGACAAGCTCTTGAAGCTCTTCCTCTGAAAATGGTTAGAGCTGAGATTGCAACCTTGGGTAATAGGATGGTCAATGTTTTCGAGATAACCGGCTGTAGCCAAGGGAGTGCTGACGATTCTGCAGGACCCCAAGTCCTCATAGATTCTGTTCATCAGGCTCTGAAGTCCGTACTTGATAAATTCTATGCATCGGAAGAGTTCTTGTCGAGAAATTCACTCTCTGGCAAGAGACGCAGAGTTTCTTTCTTTAATTCCCCAAGTTCCTCTTCTGTAGAAAATTTCTGGTGAAAAAGCTGCTTTTACTTATAGCTCATAATAGTTCTCCAAAATTCAGGTACTCCAAGGCCTAAGCTTTATCTTTTTAGATGGATCTGGTGTAAACTAGAGTCAGTACAGAAATTGGTGACATATGTTTTAGCATATATATCTTCTGCTTTGATGCAGAAAGGGGTGTATATGCCACTGCATATGCCATATTTTATACTTGTATGAATCTGTGTAGTCTCTGTAATATGTATTTTCAGTAGAAATATATCATCTTATGCCATTTGCATTGTTTCTTGGTGTCCCCTTTTTCCTTTTCATTAATCATTCGTCAGCCTCTCGTTCCATTTCTATTTCCAGCGCTTTCCTAGATGATCATGTACTGCATTAAAATTTTTATACTTTACTCAGCAGAATATTCTCAAACTGAGGAGTTCTAGTAATCAAAAGATGAGGCGATTAGTGACCTTAGTTTGAGATGCACATGGAAGCTTTGGTTCCTTTCTCTCCTTTGTATTGACACGGTCGACTGCCTCACAATTATTCAGTCCCTCATTGGCAATTTTCACCTTTATTCTATGGGGATTCATTCACTTCATTGGTGAGTAAATCTTATCAACTTATATAATCAACCTTTATTTCCATTTCAGACTTAGATATGGAAGCCAAAAGACCAAAATGCTTCATGTAGTGAGCACAGGCCAACTTTTTCATGCAATTGATCGATATTCCTAGTCTAGAACATTTAAGACGAATTTAAAATGTTTTCTTTGGAACACCTGTCATGTACTGCTGTGAAATTGTAAATCTTCTGCCCAATTTGCAATACCTAATACCTACCATTTGCAATAATAAAAGGGTACTAAATATACAGTTGTTATGATGAGCAGCCATTGATGAATGTTGGGAAGTCCATGCATGTGTGATTGATTAGTCCTGCATATCCAATTGGAGGGGGATGACAAGCCTCCTTCGTGACGATAGTTTTGCTGAATATTTGCATGGGATGATGACAAATTTGGCTCCTTGTTCTGTCCTTTGGTAAGAATATACAATCAAAGAAATGATTGTTTACTCTAGCTCATCATAATGATCTTGATAATGCATGATAGCTTGTTTCTTTGTGATTTGATTATTCATGTACTTTTATATCCCGCCATTAGTTTAGAACAATGACTTCAGCAGTCAAAAGAAACAAGCTTTAGCTTTTTTATTGGAATATTGGCTTACAAAGAAAATCTAACAATAACTGGGATGCAGTGTCCTTATCTTGAATTAGAATAGTATTCTTTCCATCCTAAAAAAATAGTCCACGTTGTATTTCAAGAACTATATTGTTTTTAGTATTATTCGCCTGACTCCAATATGGATGTTTTTTAGGACAGAGGAAGTACAAGACTAGGAGTTCATTTCCAAAAGAGTATACATGTGTATAACACAGGTTTGAGGCACTCTAATTCAATGGTGGAAAGTTTGATGGGCCTCTACTGTGCTAGATTTTACTTGTGCAACCGAAACTACTATATGGTAGTTTTTGTGAAAACCTATGAAGAGACATTGGGAAGTAGTAAAATGAATCTTTCGGAACCTCTCAGGAGCATTCAACTTACTCACTATTGGAGTCAATGAAACGACGGTTTCCATCTCCACCCCATGGGCGGTTGGATAAATCACATTGAAGGCGAATTCTATGAATACTTGGTTAACCTTGTTGCATTTGGAGCAGAGAACTTAAGAACTAAGCGGAGAACTCATGAGTAGCAATGGTAACTTGAGGAAATCTTGAAAGTCAAAGAAATCAAAATCACAAATGGTGAAGATATTTAGGGAGAATGCGAGATTGAAATGGAACTACATTAGCTTGTTAATGCCATCTTGTTCTTACATTAAGGTCAGTACCAAAAGATGAACTGAACCAAACATGAAGGGAAAAGTCATCTACAGACTACAATTTGATGATGGTTATTCTAACTTCTAGTCCTGTAGGATTTGAACCAAAGAATCACAAAACCTAGGATTCTGTAAACCACCACGAAAAACAGCATCACTACTAGGTTATTCCATTTCTTAGACTCATCTATCCCTAGCTTCCTCAAGAACTCATGACCATACAGCAAGCAGAATCCTCCAGCACCTTCGACACATTTCGTTGCCCCATTCTTGCCACCAAACTCATTGATCAACAGACTTTCGAAAGGGTACTTGAATAAACTCAGGTAATACATGAATCTCCAATACTTGGGCATTTCTTCTTTCGATATGAAGTACCCCGAGAAGAGAAAGAATGCTCCTATCACGCCTGCAATCAGCGACATTCCTGAAACAAAATTCGGCACCATGGCACTAAAACAGGCTACAAATGAGTTTGACATTAGGACAACCATCCAAGCCACCAGACAGAAATACAGAAATCCATCAATATCACGGCGCAATCCAACAAGCCAGTAAACTGGAGTAGTGTAGAGAAGGGCTATTAACAAGAGGAATGGAATGAATACTAAGGTGTTTGCGATGATGTAAGAAGATAACCTATAGGCTCCTCTGGAGGTCTCTCTTGTTAAAATCCTCTTTTCTTGCAAGAAAATCGGCAGAGCTTCTGTAGTTGAAGACAGCAAGAATGTCAGGGTGAATGCAAAGAATCCAATCTGGCTCTGTAAGCTTGATGTCTTATTGGCATTGCTGTATGCATGCAAGAATATTGTCCCCAATAGTATCCCAGCAAGCAAAGCCTGCATTGTTCGGGCCGCGAAAAGCTGGTTTGTTCTGAAAATGTTCTTTGAGAATCTCTGAGACAGTATCCATACCTCCTTGAGTGGAGAATTGGAGTAAGAAAATCGCTCCAATTCTTCTTCGACATGGGCAAAAACAGAAACCTTCCCAACAAGATCATCATTGGTACTGTTTTCATCTAGCTGATCATCATCACAACTCTCAATGTCAGTTTCATCCATTTCCAGGCTTTCTGAGACATCAATAGCAAATTCAAGCACATTGAAATGGTGAGGAATGCAATGCCCGGAGGACTTGAGCCTCTCTTCTAGGCAACACAAGGGTCCATCATGAAGAAGAATTCCATCAGATAACAGAATGACCTTATCAAACAATTCAAGAATTCGATAACCTGGTTGATGAATGCTTATCAAGATTGTTTTCCCTTGCTTCTTAGCCATAGATTTGAGGAGCAGCATCAAATTGAGAGCTGATTTGGAATCAAGCCCCGATGTCGGTTCATCAATCAAAACTACAGCTGGATCATGAACCAAATCCACCCCAATGGACACCCTTCTCTTCTCACCTCCAGAAATTCCTCTGCTGGATTCACTCCCAATCCTTGTACCCGCAACATGGTCTAATCCAAGCTCTTTCAACAGCTCCGTAACTCTTTCTCTCGCCGCCTCAGGTCCACAGCGTAGCCTGAGGCGCGCGCTGTACACAAGAGTCTCTTCAACAGTGAGGTGTGGGAACAGAGCTTCATCTTGCGTTACATACCCCGAGATTCGCCTAAAATGCACAACATTTAAGGGCCGATCATTCACAAGCACATCGCCGGTGATCCCTGAAGACGGGACAGTTACGCCCGCGAGAATCTCTAACAATGTGGTCTTTCCAGCTCCACTAGGACCTGCGATTGCTGTTAATTCCCCTGGTTTGACTTCACAACTCACATTCTTCAAAATGTACCTTTCCTTACTATTGGTGGATTTTTCTCCCTGATGACAACGGCCACCCCAACTCAGCAACTCTTCACATTTGGTTGGTGACAATTTATACGAAAGCCCTCTTGTTTTCAAGCTATATAACGTTTGCTGGTGAGTAGAAATTGGTGTAACCATTGCTAAATCCATATAGCGAAAGCTAAAATTAAACAATGTGGAGTTAGAAAAGGAAGATGAACTAACTCTCACCAACCTGACCCTTTCTTTATATACTAGTTCTTCTTAGAACTAAGTATCTAAGGTGAACAAATAAAGTAATGTTTCCTGCCAGGACTTACGGCATGATCAACTTGGACAATGCCCCGTTTTTTATGCAGTTTTTTTTAAAAAAATTTGGCTTTTTAAGGCTAGCTAGCAGGGAAGGTCAAAAGGGTTGCGCATGAATTTTGCCATCAGAATTTCGACAAGAGGTTACGATTGATGTCATGGAAGACCCTGAAAAACGGCTGCGAGGAATTCAATGAATGCAGAACCTGAAAGTAACACGTTGATGGTCTTTGCCTGTTTAGTTCAGAAGTAATATCTGAAACAATTTATCGCGTTTAAAGCTGGGTGTTTTGAAAAAGGAAATGGGAGTTATTTCGGTTACGTAGTTCCACTTTTAACCATAATCATTTGTTGTAGATTTAAAAGAAGCCGTTAGTAGTAAATTTGGTAGCAGTTATTACTAAGATTGATGCGCCGGATAAGGAAGTAGCTTCTTAACGGATTACTTTAGCAACTGGCAGTAGCAAATACAAACGTTAAATGTAACAACAATACTTGTCTAAACATGATTCGTGTTTGATATATTGTGTAGTACTCGTTTCTCGTTCATGAAACAATGGCGTTTCTTCCTCCGTCCAAAGAATCGTGTTAATTGAATTAAAGTAATAATGAATATGATTCTTTTTTTCTTTTTTTTTTCTAGGACGAAGAAGAGTGTAGTTAGAAGGTTTGCCATTGCAAATTGTAGCTTGAATATGGAATCCAAAAGTTACAAATTGCGAATTAAAAAATTAGTAATAATAAGTGTAACAATATTGGTGTTGACCTCCTTAGCCAAGCGATGCGCTTAATAATGCTAACAGCTAAAAAGTTCAACGCTTGCAGCAACCTCTGAATTCTTCAAAGCTGGATTAACTCTTCCAATTGGAGGTTCGTACAGCTCCATTAATGAATTTGGACATTTAATTCTATATATATTTTTTTATATTTTAACAAACAAGAAATGATGAAGCCAGGATTATTTTTTTGTATCAAATTGAAATGTTAAAAGCCTGTCACACTACTCAAAGGGCAAGTTCTTTGAACCTTTAAAATCAAAGTCAAAAAACCATTTTTAAACAAAAAAAAAAAAACCTACAACTCCACTTGAATGAACAGGCAATCAGTTTGGAAATGGTTAATTACCTACTGTTTGAATTCACACATTACATCAAGTTTGTAAATTTTTTTTACTAGAAACATTTTTTTAATATGGAACAATCCCGACGATTATCCGAGTAAAATCGGTAGATTGTGGGCGCATCACATCACTGACTACTGGCTAGTTGGATCCCCGATTTACTAGTGGATCTCCTCTAGTTGGTAGCATGTTTCGGTGCTCAAGAACCAAAATTTACATCTGGGAGAATTGTCGTGGGTCGGGGCCAAGTATGGGATGGGGGCATTCTTCCCTCTTTAAGGGTACTTGGTCCTGGTAGGTATGGAAGAAAGACCTAATCAAGTAGTGATCAATTTCAGGCACTAGCTATATATACTTGAGCCGAATGAAGAAGATGAATTTCACGTTGAGCCCAGTGAAGGCTACAAGCGCCTGTAACGTAAAAAATTCACTGTCGCAAATTTATCAGTGCAATTTGTTTGATTCGGAAAACTTAAGTTAATTATTGTAGTCCTTTTGTCTCAAGATTATTCTCCAGTTTAGTACAATTTGAATTAAAAATGAAAACTTAAATTCGACAATAATTTTGGAACGAAAGGAGCATAACATAAAACATGTTTTCAAGAAAACAGTTGCGGTATCATGGTGTGGTCATCAATGTTGTTCTCATTGCTCTGCGTGCATTTTACTCTATTTCGTTCTTGCGAAATGTTTATTTCGTTTTTTTAGTATGTGTTTTTAGGTGTTTTTTGTATTGGAAATGTAAAAAATTGTATTTAAAATATAAAAAGATATGATGGGATGAGACAGATATTATTATATTATTCTGAAAAAATAACGAGAAAAAAGAAACAAACAGAGCCATAATGAAATCAGGCTATGTTGTAAAAGGTTTTGGTAATGTGATAACAACCAAAGAAATAATGGAGGGAAAAATAATGATAGAATGGCAATATTCAAATCAAAAGGAGAAACCAAAATATATCCACTCGATGCCTAGTTGTCATCATATGATTGGCTAAGAAGAAATCGTATAAGATCAGATGCGCACCTCAAAACATTCGAAAAAAAATCTTTCAACGGTCCACCGCCCACCACCAGAAGAAACAGAAACGCCATCCCGCTGTGACTCTGCTTCTGAATTCCGCATCTCTCTGCTAATTTCCGATTCATTCGTTGGAGACAAATTGATTCCATCAATGGCGATTTGTGCTCATTCAAAGCTCAATTATCTCAATCCATGGATCCCAAATTCAATTGGAAGCGCCGGCGGCGGAGCATCAAGAAACCGGGGCCATGTAATCGTGACGGTTAAAATGGCATCTTCTTCATCGCCGGCGCCACCATCTACAAGTGGAAGCGTTGGCCAAGCTGCGACGGGGTTTGAAGAAGGGCAGCTTGAAAGACCACGGTGGACCGGTGAAACTCCTCTTTCTCGGCTTGTCGGAGCCCTAATTTCCTTCAAACCCCTCTACTCTGTCATGAAACTTGGTGCCAGACAAGTCCTCATAAGGTCCTCAATCTTTCCTTACATTTGCACTCTTTTGAATTTTATTTAGGTGTTTGAAATTGGGTTTTTATTTTTCTCTTTTTTTTAAAAAAAAAAAAAAATGTTTCTGGAAACAGTACTGCTGAGAAAACAAATATTCCGTGGAGGGAAATGACAAAGCAGATACTGGAATCGGATGTGTATAAAGAACTGGAGAGCGTTCAGGACCCTTCACTTGTATATCCTGATTGTAATTTCTTTATCATCTACTAATGCATTTTGAGCATATTCTGACTAATGATTTAGACATGGAGAAGTAGTTTCAGAATGTGCAATTTCATGTTTCTTAAGAGCAAATGTTTGAAGCTTCATCTTCATGTTTAACAGATTACCTTAATCCCTTCCATGCATATGATGAGGGAAACCTATCTTGGCTGGTAATGTCTTATTCCAGAGTCTTGTCTTCTTTTCTTTGCACGATATAATCCCTTTTCTCAAAATCGTTTCTGTTGTTATAACAAGGCAATAAGGGCTCCTTGGATGGAACTGCAATTAGTCTCAAATGGTAGTAATACTTGATAAAAATTGTAATTTGTTGCACAATGTTATACGTCAGGCTGCAGCAGAAGCAGAGCCAGCAACTATGTCGATGATTAGGCGAGCAATCCCTAATGCTTCTTCACTCGATGAAGCTAACCAAGTAGTTCGCGGAAATTGGCTGGATGCAATTGAAAAACATCATCGCGAGTATTCACAAGATAATATTGTTCAGGACATACTTGATATTGGTTGTTCTGTTGGTGTCAGCACAAGGTTCCTTGCTGATAAATTTCCTTCTGCCAAATTAATTGTAAGAGTTATAGAATCCTCAATCCTGTTTCTGCATTCATATCAAAAAACGTGTCAACATTATCCGTTTCTATAACATGTTTGCTGCTTTTTCTACAGGGTCTGGACCTGTCACCTTACTTCCTTGCTGTTGCTCAGTTTAAAGAAAAGAACAGTAAACCAAGGGTGAATCCCATCAACTGGATACATGCTAACGGTGAAAGCACCGGCCTGCCTTCTAAATCATTTGACATTGTTTCAGTTGCTTATGTGGTGAGCCTATTGTATATTCTATGCTTGTCAAACTGCAAAAAAAAAAACAAAAAAAGTGTCAAATGTTTTCCATGGGAAACTTTCTTTTAGGCAGCGGAACATCTTATTCTTGTGTAATCTATTCAATTCCAATTGTTACAGTTCCATGAATGCCCAACAAGAGCTATAACAAATATAGTGAATGAATCCTTTAGACTGCTTCGACCTGGTGGAACTTTCGCTTTGACAGACAACTCGGTTAGTAGCATAATCTAGATTTGAGCAAAGATGTTAATGCCTTTTCCGGAACCTCATTCACATACTAAACTCTCCTTCTTTTGCTCTTGATGGCAGCCAAAATCAAAGATTCTTCAGGCAAGTATTCTTTCCAATCATACTGCAAATTCACCATTTGATTCAAAATTACCAAGCCATGATCATGGCATGATTGTTATTAACCTTTTCTATTGAATTATATGGTTTCACGTTGCAGGAACTATCACCAGTTTTATTTACATTGATGAAGAGTACAGAACCATTCCTGGATGAATACTATTTGACAGATGTTGAAAGAGTAATGAGGGAAGCAGGCTTCGTCAATGTAACTACAATTCTCACGGACCCAAGGCATAGGACTGTGACTGCAACTGTGCCTTATTAACCTGCACTTCTCTCCTGATCCTCTCATAGATACAACATTTTCTGATCATCATTAATCCCTCTTTATTTTGGTTAGTAAAACTATGGTATTCTTAGCGGAGAAATGTTGAGATTGTTTTTTGACTCTCCTGAAATTGGTTCATACTCGCTCAAGAGAATGATGGATTTGCTCGTACAAGGCACTGCTGAAAATGGCTCTATAGATTAGAGTCTAGATAGAAATCTACGTTTACATGGATTAGGAAAAAAGAAAAACTTAACTCAACTCTGTCCCAAAACTATTGTCCAGTTTGAGATTTCACTTTTAGTACAATTTGAACTAGAAATGAAAATCCAAACTGGACAACAATTTTGGAACAGAAGGAGTAATACATTAAGCACTAAACTTGCAAACCTGAATCATTCTCTGGATGCCTCTTAAGAATCTTTACCTGGTTGTTCCAGGCTCATTAACGGTGGTACAGAAGATTCCTGTTTCGCTGGCGAAGTTTGTTTGTTTTGTATTTGGTATGAAGTTGCATTAGAAGTCTTGGCAATAAGTCGTCATTAGGCCATAAAAGCTGAGAATTTCATGGTTATATCAACAAAGTGCATAGGGCAAATTCTCCCCATTATTCCCAGTAGTTATTTTCCGAAGAGCTCATATCTTCACAGCATTATCAATACTAGCTTCTTCTTTTTTTTTTTTTTTATTTGTGTATTCATAAACAAATTTTTGCTAGTCTTTGTGCTTTGAATCAAAGTAGCATAGTATTTGGTCTTAACTAGCTAAACATTTGTTGATTTGATGTTTTCCTAAGGAGAGCTACAACATAAACCCCTGCCTGAGTAAGGTTAGTAACCAGAACAGGCAGTCATAACCTCTGTTGTAATCTTTCCTTGATAGAAGGGAAAACATCTGGCCTGAGAACGTCACTACCAGTCTTGGTGGTTATGTCACCAAGAACAAAAATGGTACCCAAAACTTCCTTTCTATACATTTGTTATGTACAAATGCTATTGAAGCAGTTTGGGATTCTAATGGTGACATAACCACCAATCTTCACTACCAATCTTGACAAAATTTGACATCTCCGAAGGTTCCTTTTCTTTCCTTTTTTTTTTTTTTTTGATTTAGCCATTCCAGGTTAAATCATTTCAATCGGGATTCGGGAGTGTCAAATAGAATGTTAGTTACTGTCCTTGACTCCTTGTAATTGACAACGGTGGGCCAGATGCTCTCTAGAGTTCCTTGCTAGAGTTTTGTTGAGTTATTTCACCCTTCAACTCTCTCCCTCCGAAACTTCCGGTGAAACTATCTCCTGAGCTGTTAATTTTGAGGGGGTAAACTAACATAGACTTCGAAGCCTGAAGGCGGAGGAGAGGGCGCCGGAAATTGGGAGGAGTAGGACACAGGACTGAGGAGGCTGTAATTTACAGAGATAGGCCTATTGGGCCTTGTTATATGAGTGGGCTGCTGAGTCGTTCCCTTTTACTATATGGTAGTTTATTTGACCAAAACGAAATTACTCCTGTTATTTCGAGGTGGATGTAAAAATAAATAATGAAATATAATTGTAATTTGAAACTAATGTGATAGTAGTTATAAAAACATGTAACTGCTTTTTATTATTTTGATGGTTATTACTTTCTCCATCCCACAAAAATAGTCCACATTGAGTTTTGAGTTTTGTACTGTTTTTAGTATAAATTTGAAAACTCAATGTACATTATTTTTTTTGGACGGAAGTAGTAAAAAAGTGATTTGGAATTAGTTTATTTTTGGAATCACTATCTTAATATTCCCTCCGTCCCAAAATTATTGTCCAGTTTGAGTTTTCATTTCTACTATTAGAAATGAAAACTCAAACTGAACAATAATATTAAAATCGAGGGAGTATTTCATTATATATATTCATTGTTTCTATCATTCCTCGTTTATTCAATGTATAGTGGTGTTCTTTTTTACTTTGGTTGATTCTTTTCCTATCTTTTTTTACTTTGGTTGATTCTTGAAGCACATTTTAATCATTTTAAAGCCTTTTTTTTTTAAAAAAAAAAATACTTATCTTGTTATTTTGTAAATGGATTTCACCCATGTGAAATCCAGAGGCGTTCGTGGGTTAAAGGCATTAACAGTCAGTCAATGGTGATTTTCTTAAAAAAAAAAAAAAGGAATACAAGTATTTGTTTTAATTCCAAATTAATCACATTGATAATTGAGAGATTATATTATTAAGATAAAAGCCGAAGAAACCAAATTTGCATTGCACATCAAAGTTGAACATGGATGGAAAGCTGAAAAAATAGGTGATGATGTACGGTACCCGCCCATAAAGAATCATAAAGGACACCTCTGCACTCCCATGTGACTTACTAGTTACTAGCCGTGACAGTGATGATGATTAGACAGTTCTGGCGACCATAATAAAGGCTTCTTGAAACGGAAAATGACAACACCATATACACATATCATTATTGAAATTATATTTTTTTCTTGTTTTTTTTTTGTCAAAGTTCTATAAAAACATGTAGGTGATTTGTGTTTGGTGTTTGGAGTTACAAGTTCTTTTTAATAGAAATTTTTAGTAATGCATATATTTCCAAATACATCGTTTACATTTTCAATAACAAAATATATACAATAAAAACCATCAAAATAGTACTTAAACAAATCGTAGGTTTTTTTTTTCCATTGAGACGGGCACCTAGTAGTATATGGTGAATACTTACTATTACAATGGATACTGAAAAAGAGATAATACTATTAGGGGAAATACACTCATCATAGCCTACTGTTCGTCATATCCGGTCCCTGTAATCATAAGGTAAATGTCACCTTCTTGCTTGACCAGCCTGTTGGATTCATCTATCCTTTTTTTTTTGACACATAATTACAAACGTCTAGTCTATTAAATGTTGACGGTGTTTATAAGGAAATGGATAGTATTACTAAGAGGGAGATTTTACACATGCACGCAATTACAAGCACATAGTTATCTACCTATTTCCTCGTAGTTTTTTTGTTTTAGTTTACAAAAGAATGTCAAAATCGTACATACAACTAATAAATAACAAATACGCATACATTAATTAGTAATTGAAAATTCTGTGTGAAAGACGCATCAATCAATTTTTTTATTGATTTTGGAATATCATGAAAATGCATAATGACATCATATAGTAAACAATGTCGTACTTATAAAATACACAATTGTCTCTAATAATGTGGGTAGTCATTAAGTGGACTTACATTTGTATTTTTGTAAGTCATTGTTTCGTTTCAGTATAAATAGTCAGTATTTTTGTCATTACTCTTGAATATTAATCTGAGAGCATTTTATTGGTCATTACTCTTTCAGTTTCAAAAAATGGACTTATATTTTAATATAGTCCAAAATAGAGTGTGGACTTGCATTCCATTGTAAAAAGAAGTTACACTAGTATCAAAATGTAACAAATAACTAAAGTGGTTGTGGTAGAGTGGAAGAAACTCTTTTACCTTTAACTATAGATTGAGAATTCGAGCCTAACCATGGGCATGGAGCATGGTCAGTTGTCCCACCTATCGAGATGTCTACAATTGAGCGACGAGAATTAGTCAATGTTGCTGACGGTAGACATCCTGTAAATATGTAAAAAAAAAAAGGAACAAATCAGAAATGGCTTGAGCGGTCCCGCGGAAGTTTATGCGAAACCTACCCTGTTTGGATGCTTTAAATTTTTAATGAAAAAAAAGTATAAAGGAAAAAACAATCCCAAAAAATCCAGTACTGACGCTAGTACTAATGCTGATCATATGAATGCGTCAATCTCCATTCATATCCTCCAACAAATTTTAAGAATATTGACATCATTTTGGCTATCTCTATTTGTTCTGTTTCTTTTAGGTTTTGCTTTGTTTGAACCTGTGTTTTCAAAACCGGACCGGCCCGAACGATCTAATCGGTTAGCTCGGGAATCGGAAGTTTTACCGGTCCAGTTTCCATAAAAAACCGGATTTTGTATAATCCGGTCAAACTCGATCAAACTCGGTCAACCTAGGATAAAACCGTGGTTTGATCAGAAATCGGTACCGATTGAACCGATTTTTGCATATATTTCTTAAAAAATTAATTTTTAAATATTTTTTAATATTATTTTAACCGGTTTTCACTAGTTTTGATGAACGAACTAACCCGTTGACCCGATAAACCCACCAATCCGGTCACGCTAACAGTTTACCTTCTGGTCCGGTTTTGAAAACATAGGTTTGAACAAGAGAATCCAATTGGGATTGCGTCCGGCCGTCCGGGGAGTTTTCCAATGCTGTAATTTACTTTACTTGGCAATTGGTAACGTAATGAAATCTGACGCATGGATTCCAAATAAAGAACACTGTGATCTATGAATTACACTCCACTAATTTTTTTTTTTTGGAGGGTCACTCCAGTAATTGTTACTTCATTTACTTAAGCATTAAAAACTGAACTGAGGGAAATTAAAAAACATTGAAATTTCAATTGCTGTTGGATATAAAATCGGTAATCAACATTTTCTGTCTATATAAGTACTCCCTCCTCCCTCCGTCCCAGAATTATTGTCCAGTTTGAAATTTCACATTAGTATAATTTAAACTAAAAATGAAAACTAAAACTGGACAATAATTTTGAGCCAGAAGGAGTATTTTGTTTTTGTTTGTTAGTGAATGGAAAAACCATGTGGTCCAGTTTACTTGTTAAGCTTTGGTCGATATTCGCCGTGGAACAAAAGAATCAATTGGATTGCGTCAATCGGATCGAGATTGGTAAGTGTTAAATTCTGTCACATACTCGGCAATTGGCAACGGTAATCAAAAGCGTGTAATCAAATTCATACATGCTACATTAATTCATATGGCAGATTCAAACACAACTAACTATACACAGATTCATTAATTCCGCAAATTTAATTTTACATTCTAACATCAAAGACCAATTGTGCTCGAAATTTTGAGGAACAATAACAAAGCCGCTCCAACTGGCAGATCCGCTTTCATAAAGGTGCCTAAAACCAAACAGCTTGCTTGTAGAGGGAGAGAATTCACAGAAACATGAGACTGGAAAGAGATCAGATACGCAATAGTATAAAAATAAATCACTGGATAATCATTTTATCTGTACACATACCTGATACGACATCTCTCTGATTCCCAAATTGATTTTACTGAGGTTCTTGCTTTGTACACTAATAAACTCTTTAGTAACAGAGTTGCAAGGTGTAATGTCTCGACAAAGTTTTAGCATGGGATTCTAGAAAGCCTCCACCAAATTCCGGGATCCCATCAGGCCTCTTTTTAATGTTAGATGCTCCCTAGAATTCCTTGCTAAAAGTTTATTGAGTTATTTCACCCTCCCAACTCTTTCTTTTCCAACTCCCATTAAATTTTGGGACTTACGAAGACTTGTGATGACAAAAGAAGAAATATCAAGGCGGAGGAGACTTGTGAGAAATGAAGAGAGAGGTGAGTGAATGTGGCAGAGACCAGAGACCACTATTATACAGATGAGTTTGATCATCTTACATATTGGGCCCTTGGGGCCTTCTAATGAATGGCCTGAATCTCAGATTAATTGCCCCTATCTTGGTCGTTAGGGTTTCTTTAAAGTGCACAGTGGCCTTCTTTAGTTCGCATCTCCGACCCAACATCCCTCTAAACTCTATATATTTAGTTCTTAAAGTTATTACAATAAAATCTTATTAATTTTACAATTTTAACAATGTCAGCCCCTTCAATTCATTCCCTCTGCCAACAAAGAGGTAGCCCAACTGATTTGGGCTTGACATCACTCAACTAACACACCTCAAGTGTTTATTAATTGACTTATTATTAAACTTACAAAATTTGAATTCTAAAAATTCATTATATACTTACCGTATGCAGTAGTTATATACCACTGGCATATGAGTTGTACAATTAAATTCTAGACTGTTGTCAATATCAATTTCCACCGTGATTCTATCGATTATCTACTGTGTCTATCTCACTCTGCTAGTTTTGATACGTTATACTCTGTCTCTACTTGCTCCTAATAGGTCGCACCGATTTGATACGTTATACTCTATCTCTACTTGCTTCCAATAAGTCGCATTTGGATCTTCTGAGATATGTGTAATCATCTTACACATATGATCATCTTCCTTCGGACTGAACTGAAATGATCGTGCACCAACCACATTTTCTTTGAGTAACAGAAATGATAATTTTTTTATGAGGTAAAGGGTTTGAGTTTGGTGAGAAGTATAAGTATATGTCATATTTATTTATAGAAATTTTTAGAAGAGTCTTATCTCAATCTTAGCCTTTGTTTGAATTTTATCATAAAATCAACGTCGACCCTTTTCCTTATCCGAATCATATCATATCTTATCTAGTTTGTCCATCATTGGATTAGTTGTTAGTATCATCACACCAATGGAATAGATTTTCACATTCATTTAATTTTTTAATAGTGTAATTTTTTATGTTATTCTAAGAGGTTTGGCTTGCAAATATTAAAAAAAAAATCTAATTGTATAATTTAATACACTTAAATACCAATTCTTTCGTTTGTCTATATGAACAACAACCAGTATGTCGTACAATACAATCTTTTATTCACATTTTCTTTTCCCGAAGTTTTTCGTAATATTCATAGTAAATG